AGAGAATCTTAAAAGCAGCAAGAGAAAGAAACCCAGTTACCTACAAGGGAATACCCATACGACTGTCAGCTGATTTCTCAACAGAAACTTTGCAGGCCAGAAGGGAATGGCAAGAAATATTCAAAGTGATGAATACCAAGAACCTACAACCAAGATTACTTCATCCAGCAAAGCTATCATTCAGAACTGAAGGTCAGATAAAGAGCTTCACAGATAAGGAAAAGCTAAAGGAGTTCATCACCACCAACCCAGTATTATATGAAATGCTGAAAGGTATCCTTTAAGAAGAGGAAGAAGAAGAAAAAGGTAATGATACAAATTATGAACAACAAATATGCATCTATCAACAAGTGAATCTAAGAATCAAGTGAATAAATAATCTGGTGATCATAATAGAATCAGGGACATAGAAAGGGAATGGACTGACTATTCTTGGGGGGGAAAGGGGTGTGGGAGATTCAGAAAGAGACTGGACAAAAATCATGCACCTATGGAAGAGGACAGTGGGTGGGGAGTGAGGGCGTAGGGTGGGGCGGGAACTGGGAGGAGGGGAGTTATGGGGGGGAAAAAAAGAGGAACAAATGTAATAATCTGAACAATAAAGATTTAATTAAAAAAAATTAAAAACAAACAAACAAAAAAAAATGCTAAAGGTTAAAGACAAAGAGAGAATCTTAAAAGCAGTTAGTTACCTACAAGGGAACTCTGAAGGCTAGAAGGGATTGGCAAGAAATATTCGAAGTGATGAAAAGCAAGGACCTACAACCAAAATTACTCTACCTAGCAAAGCTATAATTTAGAATTAAAGGTCAGATAAAGTGCTTCCCAGACAAGAAAAAGTAAAGGAGTTCATCACCACTAAATCAGTATTACATGAAATGTTAAGTGGTCTTCTTTAAAAAGAAGGGGGAACAAAAGATATAAATAATAAAATGGCCATAAATACATATCTATCAACAACTCAATCTAAAAATCAAAATAAATGAACAAGTAATCTAATGAACATGATAAACTTAAGAATAAAATAGAACTAGGGGCATGGAAACATGAAACAGACTGAAGAATCTTAGAGGTAAGGGGGAAGAGGGCAGGATGAGATTAGCCAAAGATCTTATATGCATAACCCATGGACACAGACAATAGGATGATGAAGTCCTGGGCAGGGTGGAATCTGGATAGAGTGGAGCAATGGAGGGAAAAGGGGTTACATCTTTAATACTCTCAACAATAAAGATTTTTTAAAATGCTATGGTATATTTACACAATGGAATATTATGCAGCTATAAAAAAGAAGGATCTCTTATCCCTTGCAACAGCATGGATAGACCTGAAGATTGTTATGCTAAGCAAAATAAGCTGAGCAGAGAAAGAACAATATCACATGATCTCACTTATTTTGTGGAATCTAATGAATAAAATAAACTGATGAACAAAAAAGAAACAGAAGCATGGATACAAAAAAATGACTAAAAGGCCTCAGATGGAAGAGGGTTGGGTTGGAAGGGAAGAGATTAACCAAAGAACATATATGCATAGCAATACAAACAATAATGTGGTGAAGGCCTGGGGGGTGGTGGGGGCTGGTGGAGGAAGGCAAAGGGGAGGAAAATGAGGGATATTTGTAATACTGTCAACAATAAAAATATGCATATTGAGATGACTCATAGTTCCTTGTCACCCACCACTAATTCTCTGACACCTCTCCCCTATCTCATCCTCTGGCCATAGAGGGGTGTCCCTATGACCAACCTACAGGGGAGGAAAATAAAACAAGTGTGGTTTCAGGGTGGTTTGGTTCCATATTGGTGCAAGTCACAAAAGGCCTGCCATCTAGCTTATTAAGTCTCTGGAGTTTTATAACTAAAGCTGAAATTTTCAGTCAAACCAACTATAATCTCCCTTTCCTTCCCTCAAAACCTCAATTTTCCCAGTCCCTAAAAACAATATTAAACTAAATCCTAACTATGAAAAATACTCACACAAAATTAAAAGCAAATTTTAAGAAAAAAGTTGTTTACATTTATCAACCAAGCTAAGCTTCTTTTTTAGTTGCAAGTCTCTATATGAAAGATTTAAAGCAAAAAGAAATTCTTGAAGTATACATAATTAGTTTTCTTATCAAATGCAGTGTATATGCAATTTTCTGATTGCTTTGACAGTTTTTTAAAAGTTTCAGAGGACTTCAGCACCATGTTTCACTTCTATTCTTGTAGTCAGGATCAGAATGTGATGATTTAAAGTGATTTGCAAATGTTGTGAGGAAAACCCACTCAAATCATTCCAATAAGGGGACAGCACAATTTTATGTTTTACTGAGATTAACACCTTAGAATATTTTACATAAATTTTTCATTAAGATCTAACATGTTTAGGAAACTTTAACAGTCATTTGATTTTTTTCTTCTTCATAAATACCATTAAGGATTTTCTTTCAGTCAGTTGGCGAGAATGTCAGGGAAGGTTTTCTATTTGTATTCTGGAATGCACATTTTCCTCCTCAGCAGCCATCACATATTAGTATGTGGAGAATGTTCTCTGCTGGAGCAGAAATAGCCTCATCCTAGAATCTCCTGCCTAGATAGGGCCCATGTGCTTTCTTAGGGGGTCTGGAGAAACAGGTTGCAAATCCTGACCACTCACCATTCTGAGGTTCTTTTCTGACCTCCCTATTAGTGAGAATGGGAATAAAAGGTTATATGTTGCCTTGCTGTTGATGATGATGGTGGTGATAATGGTGGTTATGATGAGGAGAAGGAAAAGGAAGAGGAGGAGGGGGAGCTGCTGTTTACCAAGAAGTCAGACACTTCCTAAATGTTTATATGAACTGAATTTGACACTCATAATAACCTTAGGAGGTAGATACTGTCATTATCCTCCTTTTTACAAATGAGGAAACTGAGACAGAGAGCAATTAATTCACACAAAGTCATACAGCTAGAAAGTGGCAGTCTGACTCCACAGCCTAAAGTTGTAATCACGTCCTCTTCATGCTTTTCAGATGTTTCGCAAGTAAAATTAATTGAGAATGTTTACGATAGAGTTAAAAGTCACAAAGGTGAGGTTAGGTTTTAAGGTGCCCATCTTCATGGCGATGACTTCCTCCTAGTTCTCTCTTGTGTTCCATTTCCCAATCCTCAGCTGAGGCAATTTTTTTACTTTTTACAACTCTTCCTGTCTCCCTCCTCTGATGCTCCTAATCCACTCTCCTTGGTAACCTGAGTGACTTTCCAAAAAATACGTTCCTGCTATTTTTCTGTTGTAAATACTCAAATGGATCCCCACTGCTTTAGGCTGATGCACAAATCCCTTTGAGCATAAGAGAGACCTCCTTGAAATCTCTGGTCTCATTTCTTATCAGCAGTACACTGCACAACAGATATATTGAAGTTATGCTGAGAGTTTGAGAGAAATTTTGATATATTTGCAAATTATTAAATTTACTAAATACTCCTATATCAATTTTCCCATAAAGTTATCTATAGCATAATAACGTGTAAAATTAAAAATGAAGTTTGAGTCTGAAATGGTAAATACAGTGGGTGAGGAATTCTTCAATACTCATGAAAACATCATAGAATTATCAGTCCCTGTGGTTGGTCCAGAGAATGATAAAGCTAGACAAGTGCTGACCAGGCTAAAAAGAAGAGGAGAAGGAAGGATAGACAGAAACATAAAAGCAGGTTCTGAGGACAGAGGCAGGCTCTGAAGGAATGAAAAAGTAGTAGAATCATACTCAAGACTGTAGTTTTTTCCGTCTTACTAGGAAGCCACAGCAATGGTGGACTCAGTTGAGAAGCAGCAAGGGGCTGCAATGAGCCAAGTAGAACAGGGAGCAGAGGAGAACCACAGGTCCTACAAAGTATGCAAGATTAAACCAAATCATAATTTTCCATTATTATTTGATTTTCATATATTATATAACAAATTTAATTTAATAAATAGAAAGTATATTTTTTAAAAGGACAATATGGAGCAATATTAATTTCAGCATTTCAACTGCAAGCTTAGTCAACATCTTTTGGAAATGTTTTCATTTGAGTTTAAAAGAAAACCTTAGATAAATTCTAGAACCTATAAAACCAACACCAACTTGAGCCATTAGTTTTGAAACTTCCTAAGTGTGCCTTTTTGTACCTATCTCCACAAAATGTTACCAAGAAAATAAGCAAAAGGTAAACATAGTGCATTTTATAGTTCATTTTGTACTAGTAAGTTACTCATCCTGCTGACAAATTTTTCAGTCAGTTGAGTTATCGTTTCCCTTATTATCTTTCTGTATATCTTCCTTTAAAAACTTGTTTTTGGATTGCCCCATATTAACTTAGGGAACACAAAGAAAGAACTGACAACTTTAGTAAGCCACAGCATAGCACAAGTTTATATTTTACCTTACTTACATTTACTTTTTTGAGATATATATTATGAAAAACAATTTATTTATTTCCAGATTTGGGGGAGAAATCATCCTCCTTCTTTCATTCCAAGAATAGTTAGGAAGCTGAAGTTGGTGTTTTGCTTAATTCCAATTTATCAAATGACTTTTGTCCTCATTAATATTAGTCTGTTTTTAATGTCTGTAACAAAACTATAGACAAAATGTAAAGCCAATGTAATTTCACCAACAAATTTAAGAGTAGAATTAAAAATAGGTGATCTTAAAGACAATATCTTATCTAGATTAACCACAGTATACAATTTAATGCTTGATAATATATAAATATGCTATCATGGTATTCTACAAATTAAAATATTAGGAATATAAATTATACTAAAATACATAGCATATTAGGAATCACAATAACAAATGATATTAAATAGAAGTTAACCACACCTTGTTGATATTTAATAATCGTTTGAAATGAACTTAATCAACATTTTAAATTTAATTTATTCATTATTATGTCACCTTTTGAGGAAAAAAACCAAGAAGTCTTGCCTCTATTTGATTTTTAATTGTACACTGTAATTATATAAAATACAAGTAAAAAATGATTGCTTACCTTAAATTGCTTGCAACCAGTTCAAGTTCTACCAGAGACAGAATGTTTCAAACGTTTCCATCAGTTGCAGGAGGAGAGTGAACGATTCAGGCTTCACCAATTATGTCTGAAAGAAAAGGCTCTCAAGTGTTTGGCCTGTCTCATGTTTCATCTCCTCCTACTAGCAGCAGGCGTGTATCTAATTTTACTCAGTGACATAAACAGCTCATACCAGCTTAACATTGTTTGGGCACCAATTCCAGGACACAGCTCTAAGTATGCCAAACACACACACACACACACACACACACACACACACACACACACAATCTTACAAAACCAACATTTAAACCCTGAATCATAATAATATTAGACAACTTTCTAAAATAAACTTTATCTCAAATGAATAGCAAAAAGCTTCTGAGATAGTTTCCAATGGAATCTAATGTTGACAAAATCTCCTGAAAAATCACTTCAAATTAACATGCAACATTTAGAACTTACAACTTTATTAGTATTAAATGTATACTGTTGTCATCCAATTGAGCTGTGTATCAAGTCACTCTTTAAAAATTACTTTCTTTAAGCCTCTTTTTAAGTGAAAAACTCTCATATTTGAGGAGAAAACCTTCAATAATGATAATAATAAATAGAAGATAAACAAACTATTAAAATTATGTGTCCTTTTCTAGTAAACTACATTTGTATTATGTCTAACAAATTATGTGAATGTAACAATGTGATCTTAGTATCTTACCTTTATTAAATTATTCAATTTTTATAAAGTGTTCTTGAAGAACATAGGATACTAAATTTTTAAATAATCTTAATCTTTTATTTTGTATCACTTATATATATCCTGGTTAGCAGATTGGCTTAAACACAAACTAAATTATAGATTTGAAATTAGTATTTTAGTACTAAACCTTGAATATGAGAAACAATGTAATGATATTCCATATGCTTAATTTTTATTTTATTTTATTTTATCCTCAGGAGACATTTTCTCTTGTTTTATTTCTTCATATTCCAATTCTTTTTGAATTTTGATGCTTCTTACACAATACCTCCAGGCTTTGAAAACTGGTACAGTTTCAACTAATCAGACATCCTATATAATAAAAGTGTAATATGCAAATCAACCAAATGGCGGAACAACCAGTGAGTGGGGGGTGGGGCGGACAAGCAGCTGTCACAAGGCCAGCCAAAGTGCATGCCAGTGGGTAGAGGGAGGGGATGGTGATTGGGTGGGGGGACAGGAGCAACCAGTGGTGGCGGGGCGATAGGGGCTTACACCGTTCCCTGATTGCCCACCTGTTCGCCTCCTGCAGAGGGAGGCCATGGGCGGCAGCAGCGGTGGGGCGATTTGGGGCAGGGCCACCCAGCACCATCCCCATATAGGCCTGCTGTGGTTGCCCCCCCCCCCCCCCCCGCAGAGGGAGGCCACCAGTGGCCCTGGCACAACTGGGGGCGGGACCGGCCACTCACTGCCCATGCCATCCATATCGATTGTCATGCTGGTCAGCTCCCACACAAAGGGAAGACAGACTATGGCTTAGGCCCGCTCTGCTCCCCTAAGCTGTCAGTTGGACATCCCCTGAGCACTCCCAGACTGTGAGAGGGCACAGGCTGGGCTGAGGGACCCCCTCAAGTGCACAAATTTTTGTGCACTGGGCTTCTAGTATATTTATATGATGTTAAAAATATTTCACAAATTCTCTGAGCATTACTATCATGGCAATTCAATTAGACAAATTATAGCACAGCTATCAATTCTTTTAAAATCTATTTAACAATGATTATATGAGACTATTTTTTATGAGTACGTGTCTGAAAAGTCAAATTTTAAAAATTTGAACTCAGTGTTCTTGTTGAAATATCACATATATACAGGTGAAATAATGAGGGATCAATCAGTAAATTTAGTTTATAGCAATGAATTTTTTCAATGTTTTGAGGTCTGCTTTGTAAAAATATTAGTCAAATAAAATGTACTAGACCATGTTAAGGCCCTGTTGAATCTGATGAAAGTATAGTAGTTCCATTTTTAATAATTCCTATGACTTTATACACTAACTGCAGTTGTAAGCTCCTATGACTAAGTCCTCCCAAACCACATCATACCTTCCTCACAAACTAAACTAATCAACTCCACAAACCTGCTCTTTTATCCATCCTTCCTTTCTTGGTTTATGGCTCCATCCTCCACAAAGTCACAGAGACAGATTTGGGAACCTCCCTCACTCATAAGACATCCAGTCACAAAGCTCCCAGTATCACGTGCTGGGCCTGCTTTCTCCACCTTGAGTCCTGTTTGACTAGGGGCCTTCAGGCCAAGCCTGTTACTTTAGCTGGTAGCTCTTTCCCTGCTTCCAAGCATTCCATATTATATACTGAGGATGGCCAGAGAAATGCCAAGAACAGATAATTCTGTCCATATCATTTCCCTGCTTAAAGTCCTCAGTGAGCCTTCAGGATATGGTACCCGGTACCTGAGAGGACACATATATCTTTATGAGTGCTCCCTGTCCATCTCTACTGTCCCTTGCCTTTTGGGTCCCATACGAAACCACAAAATTCACACTGCCTTTGGGTGTTCCGCCATATCTCTGACTAGTGTTACCTCCCATCTTTTTCACTGGAGAACTATGTAACTTTTTAAAAATCTCACCTTTTTAAAAATCTCACCTTTTAACAATCTCACCAATGTTTTCATTGACTTTTTCTTTTTTTGAGAGAGAGAGAGAGAGAGAGAAGGAGAGAGAAAGAAACATCAATGTGAGAAATAAACATTGATCAGTTGCCTGCTGTATGTGCCCTGACCTGGAATCGAACCCACCACCTATCAGTGTACAGAATAACACTCCAACCAACTGAGCCATACTGGCCACAGCTGGAGAACTATGTAACTTTTAAAAGTCTATTCACATGTCACTGTCAGATTTTTATGTGTTTGAGGGGAGCCCACCTTGGGGTTTAGAACACAGACTTCTCAGGGCCAACCCCCCCACAGCTGAGATATCCCTCCAGAACTTCAACCACTGCTTGTGGGAACACGGCCAGCCCTCTCACACCTCCTCACTTCCCACAGGCTTGATGTGGCCTCCTCTTACTGTCCTTGGTTATAAGTATTATCTCCAGCTAGTCTAAGGTTGGTTATTCAGAATGATTTTTTTATATTTTAGTTCTAATTCCAGTTTGGTCCTGAGAGAATGTCAGTGTAGCTTCCTCTTAATCTGCTGCCATCTGGAAAGCCCAAGTTTCTCTCTATCTTTAACCTTTGTCATTTTAATTTTGATGTGTTTTGGTGTGAGCATCTTTTGCTTCATCTTCTTTGGGACTCTGCTCTTTCTGGACTTGTGTGCTCTTTTCCTTCACAAGACTAGGGAAATTTTTGGTCCTTATTTCTTCAAATAAGTTCTCAATTTCATTCTCTTCTTTTTCTAGTACACCTATCATGCAGATGTTGTTGATCTTCATGCTGTCCCATAGGTCCCTTAAGCTATCCTCATTTTTAAAATTTCTTTTCTCTTTTTGCTGCTCTGATTGGGTGTTTTCTGCTACTTTGTCTTCCAAATTGCTGATTGAGTTTCAGCTTCATTCAACATTACCTGTATTCCTTCTAGTGTATTCTTCATTTCCAACTGGTTCTTTCTTATGGTTTCTATGTTCTCTTTCATATTTGCTATCTTTTTTTGAAGTTCTCATAAGTTCCTTGAATGCCCTTATAACTACTTTTTTTAACTCTCTATCTGCTAAATTGCTTGCCTCTGTTTTATTTAGTAATTTTTTTTCATTTTTTTCTAAAGGTTTCTCCTGTTCTTTCATTTGGGGCTATTTCTTTGCATCCCATTCTGGCAAACTCTGTGTTTGTTTCTATGTGATAGATAGCTTTACTGTCTCCCAATCTTGGTAGGGTGCCCTCTAGGAAGAGACTCTGGTACAGATCAATTTCACATGCTGCCTCTGACTGGCTCTGAGCAATATGTTTGAAACTACAAAGCAATCCACAGTTTGTGGCTACCTTGGCTAGGTCTGTGTGTGCACAAGAGCCAAGCTGCACATCAAGGCCAGATTCTACCTGCAAAAGTCCCAAGGCACACAAAGATATGCCTCCATCTGCCTCTGTCTGCCAGCTGCCTGTTAGGTTCAATCACTGGAAGAGCCTCTGGTAGTACTTGAGTTGCATGAGGAAGGGTCTCAGTGAGTGGTGTTCATCAGATTGATACATGTTCAAATTTGGTTGTAGGGAGCGGCTATAGAGTCAAGCCTTGGACTGACCTGTGGCAAAGCCACAAACAAATCCCAGCTCGGAGGGCAGAGCCCTCCTAGCATAATTTAGCTTCACATTATAGACCTCCCTAGTTCCTTTCTAGGTAGCTAATGGGCTGTGAGCGGTGCAGCAAGTGCTGCCAAAACAAGGTGAAATTCATAAGAGCATTGTAAACATGTTGACCACTTCCCTTGTTTTGCTTTGTGTGCTCTGACTATAAAATAAAGCTTTGGCTTGCAGGGTGGGTCACTGTTTCCTGCACAGTGATCTGACCTAACCCCAGCTGTATTCTCTTGTCTTTCTTCTTTAATCCTTCACCACCCCTCCTCAGGCTCACTGAACCTGGCCATGTTGGCGCAGTACATTTGATGCTAATGCTAAATCTGAGGCCACTCAGCACAATCCCTGTTATACCAAGTCTAGCTATTACCTGTCAGGTGCCTGCAGACCCTTTTGGTGGGACAGGGTCTCAGGGTATCATTAGCATGAGGCTAGCAGAGTTTATCAGGCCCAAACAAACCAAGAGTTGGCTATGTGAAGAGGGCTTTACACCAGTTTCGTATGTGAGAGAAATATGACCCTGTTTTAGAGCCACACAATTTAGTCTGTCTTAGATTCTACCTGGAGCCCAATTTCAGCAGGTGAGTCACTGGGGTTTGGAGGGTGGGGCTAGTGGATCTTTTCCAAGGGAAGGTCCTTATCAGGCTTGGGGGAAAGTGGGAAGAGTGGCCCCTGCCTCAGAGCCACACAACTCAGTCTGTGCCTGTACTTCTAGCAGACTCTCATATCTCTCTGGAAGACAGAGTCCATGCTGACTTTCGCAGCCAGATGTTATATGGGCATCTCTTCCCAGCTCTGGTGTTCTGGACTGTGGAGCCCAGTGTGGGGTTTAGATCCCATGCTTCATATGGGAACCTTTGAAGTTCAGATATCCCTTTTGAATCTCAGCTACCAGTTTGTGTCTCTGCCCTTCCTCCCAGTCTCTATGTAGCTTTTTTTTTTTTTTTTTTTTATAAATTGTTGGTTTTAAGACTTCTGTTCAGTTAGTCTGCAGTAGGTTATTCAGGTTGATTGGTCTATATTCTAGTTATAACTCCAGTTTGGTCCTGGGAGGAGGTGGATGTAGCTTCCACCTACTTCACCACCAGCTTGGATAGCACCTATCTCTTTGTTATAGTTCTCACTAATTTCCTCTACTCTTCCGCTAAGTTCAATGAGCACCATTAAGACCACTGTTTTGAATTCTGCATCTGGTAAAATGCTTGTCTCCATTTTGTTTAGTTCTTTTTCTGATGTTTTGTTCTATTTTTACATTTGAGGCATATTTTTTTGTCTCCTCATTTTGGCTGTCTCCCGTGTTTGTTTCTTTGTGTTAAGTAGAACCACTACATCTCCTAGTCTTGGTAGAGCAGCCTAATTGTCTTCTATAAGGCCCATTAGCAGAGCCTCCCTGATCATCCAAGCTGGGCACTCCAGGTGCACCCCCCATGTAGGCTATGTACACCCTCCTGCTGTAGTTGAACCTCAGCTGCTTTTGGAACCTCAGGGACTTACATCAGACTGATGGGTTGTGAGGAATGGCAGCAATCACCATGGAGGATCATCTGTGTAGGGTCCTATTCCATGGAGCAGGACTTACTTAGTAGGGCTTTGGTGCCTGCTGAGTCTGCTTCTTGAGTGTGCTGATTGAGGAGGTGTTTGGGTGGTTCCTTTGTGTGGCCTGAAGTTATCCACTGGGTGCACTGGCTCTATTGCCTCCTAGGAGTTGCAGGCCAAGTTCAGCTGCCAACTGCTCCCTGCTTGGGACTACCCAGCATGAGTTAGAAAGCCACCTGCAGATCATGGCTACTTGTGCTGGGCTTGTAAGAGCCCTGGAGTGGCCAAGCTGTTACTCAAAGCATGCTGCAACTTGTGCCTGGTCTGTGGCTATTTGTTGAGAGGGATATGGCAGGCCAAGGCCAGATGCAGCTTGCTTGAGAGATTTTAGAAAAGTCTGCAGCCTAAGCCAAGACAGGCCATTCTATCTAATAAAAGAGAAAAATGCAAATTAACCATCACTCCATTATGCCCACAAGCCATACCCACCAGCCAATCAGGAGTGAGTATGCAAATTAACCCAACTAAGATGGCAGTGGCCATGGAGCTGGAGCAAGCAGGAGGCTTGGGTTGCCCCTGGAGATTGAGGAAGCCAAGCTTCCCACCCGCCCTGGCCAGCCCTGGCCTCTGCTCAAGACTACAAAGTTTCAATTATAGAAGATAAATAAATCCCAGATACCTGCTTCCCTCTGCTCAAGGAGGAGCTGAAAAAAAAAAAAAAAAGACAGAAAGGAGGGGCTGGGAGCTTGGGTCACCGGGAGCCATAGCCAGCCTGCAAACAGCCATTAGCCCTTCACCCAGGCTGGCAAGGCACCCCAGCGGGGACCCCCACCCTGAAGGGGCTGTGGCCAGCCTGCAAACAGCCATCAGCCCCTCACCCAGGCTGGCCAGGCACCCCAGTGAGGACCCCCACCCTGAAGGGGGTGTGGCCAGCCTGCAAACCACCACAGGCCCCTTGCCAAGGCCACCCCATGCCCCAAGGGAACCCCAACCCTGATCCGGGACACCTTTCAGGCCAAACCAGCCGGCCCCCACCCGTGAACCAGGCCTCTATCTTCTATACTAATAAGAGGGTAATATGCTAATTAGACTGGGAGACCTTCCGGATGTTCTTCTGGACAAAGCCATGGTGGTGGGGCCAAGGTAGAGGTGGTTAGAGGCCAAAAGGGGAGGGCAGTTGTGGGTGATCAGGCTGGTTGGGAGAAGGGCCATTGGGGGTAAGCAGACCAGCAGGGGAGCCAGTTGGGGGCAAGCAGGCCATCAGTGGGAGTCAGTTGGAGGTGATCAGGACAGCAGGGGGGCAGTTTGGAGTGAGCAGGCCAGCAGGGGGCAGTTGGGGGAGAGCAGGCCAGTGGGGAGGGATGGTGGGGGCAAGAAGGCCAGCAGGGGGGTAGTTGGGGGTGAGCAGGCTGGCAGGGGAGGCAGTTGGGGGTGAGCAGGCCAGCATGCAGAGTGGTTAGGGGCAAGCAGGCAGGCAGGTGAGCGGTTAGGAGCCAGGAGTCCCAGATTGTGAGAGGGATGTCCAACTGCCAATTTAGGCCTGATCCCTGTAAACCAGCAGTAGGATATCCTTCCAGGGGTCCCAGATTGGAGAGGGTGCAGGCCGGGCTGAGGAACACCCCCCCTCCCCCGTGCATGAATTTCATGCACCAGGCCACTAGTTTGTATGGAAAAGCCAATGGAAGTGGCTTGGGTGGACCTGAAGATTGGGTGAAGTCTCAGGGAATCACCAGGGCAGGGTGAATGGTGTTGGGCAGTTTGATGGAGAATCAGATATAGTACCCACTTGCTGGCTCTTTGCAGGAAGAGCTCAGCAAAGGAGCAATGACTTCTGCCAACACTTCTGACTTGTAGAA